AATGTGAGAGTACAGAATGTGAGAGTACAGAATGTGAGAGTACAGAATGTGAGAGTATAGATGTGAGAGTACAGAATGTGAGAGTACAGAATGTGAGAGTACAGAATGTGAGAGTACAGAATGTGAGAGTATAGAATGTGAGAGTATAGAATGTGAGAGTACAGAATGTGAGAGTACAGAATGTGAGAGTACAGAATGTGAGAGTACAGAATGTGAGAGTACAGATTGTGAGAGTACAGAATGTGAGAGTACAGAATGTGAGAGTACAGAATGTGAGAGTATAGAATGTGAGAGTATAGAATGTGAGAGTACAGAATGTGAGAGTACAGAATGTGAGAGTACAGAATGTGAGAGTACAGAATGTGAGAGTACAGATTGTGAGAGTACAGATTGTGAGAGTATAGAATGTGAGTACAGAATGTGAGAGTACAGATTGTGAGAGTACAGATTGTGAGAGTACAGATTGTGAGAGTACAGAATGTGAGAGTACAGATTGTGAGAGTATAGAATGTGAGAGTACAGAATGTGAGAGTATAGAATGTGAGAGTACAGAATGTGAGAGTATAGAATGTGAGAGTATAGAATGTGAGAGTACGAATGTGAGAGTAAGAATGTGAGAGTACAGATTGAGAGTACAGAATGTGAGAGTATAGAATGTGAGAGTATAGAATGTGAGAGTATAGAATGTGAGAGTACAGATTGTGAGAGTACAGATTGTGAGAGTACAGAATGTGAGAGTACAGAATGTGAGAGTATAGAATGTGAGAGTATAGAATGTGAGAGTATAGAATGTGAGAGTATAGAATGTGAGAGTACAGAATGTGAGAGTATAGAATGTGAGAGTATAGAATGTGAGAGTATAGAATGTGAGAGTATAGAATGTGAGAGTACAGAATGTGAGAGTACAGAATGTGAGAGTACAGAATGTGAGAGTATAGAATGTGAGAGTATAGAATGTGAGAGTATAGAATGTGAGAGTATAGAATGTGAGAGTACAGAATGTGAGAGTATAGAATGTGAGAGTATAGAATGTGAGAGTATAGAATGTGAGAGTATAGAATGTGAGAGTACAGAATGTGAGAGTACAGATTGTGAGAGTACAGAATGTGAGAGTATAGAATGTGAGAGTATAGAATGTGAGAGTATAGAATGTGAGAGTACAGATTGTGAGAGTACAGAATGTGAGAGTATAGAATGTGAGAGTACAGAATGTGAGAGTACAGAATGTGAGAGTACAGAATGTGAGAGTACAGAATGTGAGAGTACAGAATGTGAGAGTACAGAATGTGAGAGTACAGATTGTGAGAGTACAGAATGTGAGAGTATAGAATGTGAGAGTATAGAATGTGAGAGTATAGAATGTGAGAGTATAGAATGTGAGAGTATAGAATGTGAGAGTATAGAATGTGAGAGTATAGAATGTGAGAGTATAGAATGTGAGAGTATAGAATGTGAGAGTATAGAATGTGAGAGTATAGAATGTGAGAGTATAGAATGTGAGAGTATAGAATGTGAGAGTATAGAATGTGAGAGTATAGAATGTGAGAGTACAGATTGTGAGAGTACAGAATGTGAGAGTACAGATTGTGAGAGTACAGAATGTGAGAGTATAGAATGTGAGAGTATAGATTGTGAGAGTATAGAATGTGAGAGTATAGAATGTGAGAGTATAGAATGTGAGAGTATAGAATGTGAGAGTACAGATTGTGAGAGTACAGAATGTGAGAGTACAGAATGTGAGAGTACAGAATGTGAGAGTACAGAATGTGAGAGTACAGAATGTGAGAGTACAGATTGTGAGAGTACAGAATGTGAGAGTATAGAATGTGAGAGTATAGAATGTGAGAGTACAGAATGTGAGAGTATAGATGTGAGAGTATAGAATGTGAGAGTACAGATTGTGAGAGTACAGAATGTGAGAGTACAGAATGTGAGAGTACAGAATGTGAGAGTACAGAATGTGAGAGTACAGATGTGAGAGTACAGATTGTGAGAGTACAGAATGTGAGAGTATAGAATGTGAGAGTATAGAATGTGAGAGTACAGAATGTGAGAGTATAGAATGTGAGAGTATAGAATGTGAGAGTATAGAATGTGAGAGTATAGAATGTGAGAGTATAGAATGTGAGAGTACAGAATGTGAGAGTATAGAATGTGAGAGTATAGAATGTGAGAGTATAGAATGTGAGAGTATAGAATGTGAGAGTATAGAATGTGAGAGTATAGAATGTGAGAGTATAGAATGTGAGAGTATAGAATGTGAGAGTATAGAATGTGAGAGTATAGAATGTGAGAGTATAGAATGTGAGAGTATAGAATGTGAGAGTATAGAATGTGAGAGTATAGAATGTGAGAGTATAGAATGTGAGAGTATAGAATGTGAGAGTATAGAATGTGAGAGTATAGAATGTGAGAGTATAGAATGTGAGAGTATAGAATGTGAGAGTATAGAATGTGAGAGTACAGATGTGAGAGTACAGAATGTGAGAGTACAGAATGTGAGAGTACAGAATGTGAGAGTACAGAATGTGAGAGTACAGAATGTGAGAGTACAGATTGTGAGAGTATAGAATGTGAGAGTACAGAATGTGAGAGTACAGAATGTGAGAGTACAGAATGTGAGAGTACAGAATGTGAGAGTACAGAATGTGAGAGTACAGAATGTGAGAGTACAGAATGTGAGAGTACAGATTGTGAGAGTACAGATTGTGAGAGTACAGAATGTGAGAGTACAGAATGTGAGAGTATAGAATGTGAGAGTACAGAATGTGAGAGTATAGAATGTGAGAGTACAGAATGTGAGAGTACAGAATGTGAGAGTACAGAATGTGAGAGTACAGATTGTGAGAGTACAGATTGTGAGAGTACAGATTGTGAGAGTACAGAATGTGAGAGTATAGAATGTGAGAGTACAGAATGTGAAAGGGAAAGTACAGAATGTGAGAGGATGCACACTATGGAGGAGGGAATAATGAAAGAAAAATGGGGTCTTGACGGACCTCTTGTGTGTGTGTTTGTGTGTATGTGTGTGTATGTGTGTGTATGTGTGTGTGTATGTGTGTGTGTGTATGTGTGTGTGTATGTGTGTGTGTGTGTGTGTGTGTGTGTATGTGCGTACCCATCTTCAGAAGTTTCAATGGGTAAAACATGGAAGTGCAACTGTCTCCAATAATGCCACTAGCAATCACGAGAATTAAGTCTTGAACACACACACACACACACACACACACACACACACACACAATGAGTGTGAGATAGATAGATAGATAGATAGATAAAGAGAGACAGACAGACAGACAGAGGGAGGGAGAGAAAGTAGGAGGGAGGGGGGGAGAGAGAAACAGAGAGAGAGGAGCGAGGGAGAGAGAGAGATGGAATTCTGTTCTGGTATATTTTGATGGAGTGTTTTCGATTAAGCTAATACCGGGTGCGAGGGTGCTGGGGCGCACTGCGTGACGACTGGCTGACTTTTTCAGTGTGGCGAATTAGTTGATATGTGAGAATGATGGAACCAATAAAAAATAACAAAGGCTTCAAAAACACCGGTTTAAAAGTTCATTCGAAATGCGTAATGTGTTTTATATATCAAAATATTGTTTTTGAATGCGTTTTTTCATATATATATGTATATATACATATATATGTTCGTATGTGAATTTAAATATCCTGCCAGTAGAGACAGTGCTCATATATATATATATATTATATATTATATATATATATATATATATATATATATATATATTATATATATATAAATATATATATATATATATATATATATATATATATATATATATATATATATATATATATATATATATAGAGAGAGAGAGAGAGAGAGAGAGAGAGAGAGAGAGGGTTTTACATTTGTTTTAAAAAATTTGGAATGGTTCAGGAAATATTTTGAGTTTCAATTTCACCTAAGAATCATACTAGCTCATCGCCACCCCGGAAATGATATCAAAACAAGATCACCGGTCACAAGCTTATTCATAGACGGTCTGCTTCATGAATTTAACAAACAGTATAAAACGAATTATCGACTGGTTAGTTCTTTCTTCCCTTCGCAACAATGCGCATGCGAGTTTCCCCCTTATCCCAGAGGGCCACAAGATCCAGCCTGCTGGTGTCATCAAGTACAAGCAAGAACATAATCTATGTACTCTTGATAATAAGGGTTATAATATGGAGGCAGTGGGATGCCTAAAGGGGCCAAAAAGGCGCACTACTTTCCCGCGCGGATAAGCCAAGCCTTGAAGTGCGGTCAGGGGGGGAAACATGGCTTCCTACCCACGTCAACTTGTCATCCCTCATAGACGCAGAAATTTGTAAGCTCCGGTGGATTTTACCACTGGCTTTTGTGTTACCGGGAATATCCTGCGACTCTGCGGAAAGCATTATTTATTTGGATGTGCGCATATATCAGGAGGTATAAAAGGGAGAATCCATCCGTGGCACTATTCTATGCAGACGGACCTCAAGATGAACTTCCTTTGACGACATGAATGGTTGTGCTACAATAAGGTGTAATTCTTTGTGTTCCCATTCACTGTACAAAGACGTTTTGCTTCAGAATATGTGTGGTTAGACGCAAGACGGGAAGTGAGGGCAGGAGCCGCTGTTGAACGGCTGCTAATATATTTGTTATTGCAGCTAAGATGTTCGTGATTACTCAGCTGTTGTTGCTGCTGTTGCTGATACTGCTAACTCGTCAGCTTGCCTCCGACGAGTCTCTGGTCGTCACACGCACTGCTAGCAACTCAAACTCCTGCCTTTTTACATAATACAGAATTATTCAAACATCACTACCACTACAAGAGAAAACTCTTCAGTTATACATCTCTTGCTCACTGTTGCCTCAGTGTCTGACGCTATTGGCATTAATATACAGTCACTACAGTTGTCATTACTACTACCCATTACTATTACTAATACTACTACTACTACACCCACTACTACTGCCACAATTACAAACAAAAAAAGCATTGAGGACATACCTGGAGAGGATCTTGGAGACGCAGCCGTGGGAGACACGGAGCTGACGGGAGATGTCGCAGGGTCGCACGCCGTTATGGGCCAACTCTACGATCCTCTGACGAACCATGTCAGGAAGTGGCCGCCCATTGACGAACACACCGCCCAGCTGGTTCACTCCGCCGTGACCTGCAGCCAGAAACATGTAGGTTATAGTCTGTAGTGTCCAAGGCATCATCTTATGGCCTTCCACACTTGTTATTGCTTTATTTTCGAATTCGATATAACGGCATCGTCGTCATAAGCATTAAATGATGATGAGAATGGGAATTTACGAAAGAATGAACTCCAGTTAACTCATAAACTACAGGTGGATGATGATAATATCCCAAGATATAGAGAAGAATACACGGAACTGCAGCTTGCATTTACACGAAGAAACGTGGATAATGTCTGGCCTACTTAGTTATTAAAGGTTATAACTGTGTGTATAGTAATCACACGACAGACATAGCATTGCTAAGATTACGGTTACATTCACGAGTGCATTAATAGCAGCACTTGTCGATAAGAGTACGGTAACAATTTCCTATGCGAATGCCATTAAGCTTAAAGCTAACCGTCTGTCCTAAAAAGGTCAAGATGGATGAGAGGTAACCCGAAACTCCTGTTATGAGAACTTGACTGTCACTCAAGTATTAGCATATATGAACAAACTCAATGTAAAAAAAACAGTGGACTGAAAGATGTGTTATCCTCTACTGACACGTTTCGCCTCAAATACTCATGTGATTGTTTCCCTGTGGGTATTTACTGGTTTTGTTCACACTAATATTACATATGTACGATACAAATAATAAAAGAACCACAATAAAATTGAAGGCAATGAGATCCTCTACATCAATATCGACACTCAATATTACATCAAATTGTGAATCAAATTATCGCATCAAAATGATCGTACAATCAAAATATCCTCAATCAAAATACGTACATCAATATGTACAATAATAATACTACATCATATCGACACAAATAACAATCAAAATATCGTACAATCAAAATATCGTACAATCAAAATATCGTACAATCAAAATATCGTACAATCAAAATATCGTACAATTCCTAAGCGATAAACAATTATTTCAACATATCTGAATAACCCGCACATAGAAAAAAAGATTATGGCGACGTATCGGTCCGACTTGGACCATATTATTATTTTAATATCATAATAATAATAATAGTAATAATAACATTTATTTCTACAAGTACATGATACAACTTATACAGACCATAGCTGACATCAGTGACATACTGTATAGAAAGCCCTTGGTTATTCAGAGCATTTCAGGTAAATTAAGTTAATTTTGTTCCCAGGATGCGACCCACACCTGTCGTCTAACACCCAGGTACCGATTTACTGCTAGGTGAACAGGGACAGTAGGTATCTTTAGGAAACACTTCTTAATGTTCCCACCAGTAACGGGGATCGAACCACAGACCTCAGTGTGTGAGCTAGAGAGAGAGAGAGAGAGAGAGAGAGAGAGAGAGAGAGAGAGAGAGAGAGAGAGAGAGAGAGAGAGAGAGAGAGAGAGAAAGAGAAGCCACATCGTGTACAATCATTATACATGGAAGATAAAGTTACTTTTCCATTACACATACAGGCTCCTTCGCTAAATAAAACATTGTAAATGGTCCAAGTCGGACCGAAACGTTGTCATAAGCTTCTGTCTCCTATTTGTGGGTTATTCGTGTAGTATTCCAGTTACGGTATTGTGCCTTTTATTTCAACACCTCATAATTATTCCACAAATTACAGGTGAAACTAAACAAGGATCATCATGCCACTACTGGCTTGATAATTGGTGATAATGGTAAAATTACCGACAAAATGTTAGTTAAAAGTTCACAGACGCAACTAATGTAAGATTTTTATTGTGGCAACAGTAAAATATCACATTAGTTGCACCTGTGTCCTAGTACCTACGTTGACACTTTCGCAGGAGGGTCTCTCATATCGCCTAGTATCACCTCCCGCTCTTGTCTGTTTGTTATAAATTATTGCAGCCACGGTACTGTTTCGTATTCCTATAGAAGTGTTGTGTTTTAGAGAATGTGTTGGATAGCGAGAGAGAATCTAGTACATCGTTATACATCGACGGTAAAGTAAGCTTTCCACTACACACAGGCTCCTTCGCTAAAGTAAACAGGAGGTTCCTGCTCTACATTCTCTACATTGCTGAAGGAAACACGAGGCTCCTCTACCACGCTAAAGCAAACAGGAGTCTCCTTCCATACAGAGCTAAAGCAAACATGAGGCTCTTCTACAATGCTAGAGCAAACACAAAGGCTCTTCTACAATGTTTGAGCAAACACGAGGCTCATCTACAGAGCTAAAGCAAACACGTAGTTTTTGGTCTACAGCATTAAAGCAATCACTTCAGACTCTCCAGAGAAGACGTTAAGTTTACGCCGGGCACGTGGCTTGGCTCAGCCCACGTAACAGAAAAAATAATGCGAGGGGTCACAATAGGCCGGAGTGACCTCCTTCATAAACAGGGTATCAATCTCAAATCCGTCATTGTCGGGCACAACCGGACTCCATAGGGTATTGTATTGAGTCATTTATACGAGCATTACAAGGCGGTCTCTAATAATACACGTTAAAGTGAGCATTCGGGAGCTAGTCACACGGGTCCAGAAACTTTCGATACCGCAACCGAATTTTCCGCTCGACTACCAAAGGTATTGTCACCTCGATTATATAAATAAACGGATGAAACACTATGGAATGAATCGGTAGTTTTCCAAACAGCGTGGTGAATAGAGTGTTCGGGGCAGCTGCGTTTGGTGGGTATTGAGAGCCCAGGCCAGGCCAGAGATGTCCCACCCCACCTCCTCCCTCCTCCCACTTCAAAGAAACAAGGACGGAATTTACTGTGCGTTTCCATATTGGTAACTGTAGTCAATGGCTTTAGGATCTGCCCTATACAAAACTTCCTCAAAATAACTTTTCGTTTGCTGGGGGAAAATATCTTGAAATCCTTCCTTGGTTATCATAAATAAAGGATTACATTTTTCCAGATCGTCCCAGCACTCCAGAATACTGACAGGAGTAACATCAAAAGTTGCGTGGCGTTGACTTCATAAAGTCACTGTTCCTTTTTTCTCTACTCATTATCCCAAACCCAGAGGCTCATGCGGAGAGCACATTACATGCCATATGATTCTTTATACAGACGTGACCCAGAGGCTTTTATGTGGTGCACTGGGCGAGACGGATATGCCACTTGATAGCCATGCTAGTGTAGGAAGGGTAGCAGGACATACTAGACGTGGGACTAGTTTCTACTGCTTGGTCGAACCTCTTATTCTCTAGGTTTCATACCTTTTCCTTGCCTGGCCTCCCTAAGAACACCAAAAGTGTTCTTAATATTGTACATAAAAACTTACAAGCAGGTGATGACTAAGGAAGTGGAAGGCTGGACTGAGGTGGTTATAAGAGAGGTGTGGAACGGGTCGAGGTAGTGTGGGAAGTATAATGATGTATTGTTGCACGAGAGAAGCGGCTCTGCTCTTACAATGAAACCTGCCCACTTCCCTCCATGTTTTACCTATGACGTTATAGTAATTCCAAATTTCACTGTGATTCGGAACATTGCGATTTGATGCCAAATTTAATGGAGGATTTTCAAGCGTATCCACAAGCAACAATAACACGGGAAATAAATACGTTTAAAACATGGCATGGGTGGACACGTGAATGGTGTCAATCACCTCTGTGTCCGGCCCAGGTGTCCTATGGTTCCTGCGCTCTTGTACTCCACCAACCCCCTCCCCACTTTCCTCCCTCTTACCCATTCCCAACTCAGACCCTCCATGGTACGTAGCCTCCCTCTCCTACTCCCCCATCCCCAGCAGGGAACACTGGATGAACCTCACGGGGTTTCCCTTACTCCCTACGCGCTACTCAATACCAGAAGAAATAACCTTATGATATCGCTGGGTCGGTCACTGCCAATAACTCTCCGCCAGGCTACCACCAGCTGCCTTATTTATTTTGTGGTTCTTAATTCCTCATTACTCTGGTAGACATGAATCGCCACGCTCACATTTCCAGCCAATCCTTCCATCTCCCCACTGCGTAACGGTGTTAATTATGCATACTCATTCATGTTGCTCATGAGATTACAAAGAGATTGGCAGATAAACCTTTCAAAACATATGTTCGACACATTCCCGCACCTGTCAGGGGCTCTCTAGAGTGTCATCTGTTTGTGTTGGATCAGATAAGTGGATTTGGGGCCGAGTAAGTGGTCGGGGGGAGATCAGATAAGGAGACATAAGTGGGTGTTGATTCGTGTATCAGAGGGGAGAAAATCTCCGCTTTTGTTTACAGCAGGAGATGAGGGACTGATGTGTAAACACCAGCACAGATGTGCTTGCTGACGCTGATGAGCCCTTTGGCTCATCAACTTCTGCAACACACACACACATGCACCGCTTGCTGACTACACATACACACACACACACACACACACACACACACACACACACACACCACACACACACACACACAACACACACTGTTGGCTCAGAATATACAGAAGGAGAATGAAATAGCTTGAAAACATGCTTGAGGCCGACTGGTGTGCCCGGGCTGGGAAGAAACATAACTTGTAAACAAGGCTGCCTAACTACTGAAGCATCTGTGACCGAGTGGTCTAGAGCGTTATCTGAGGAACCTTGTCACTTCCCTAACATAGTTTCGAATCCTTCTGACTGCAATCTTTCTCTGTGTGTACACACACACACACATTATTTAATATATATATATTATATATATATATATATATATATATATATTATTATATATATATATATATATATATATCAACGCAGTGATGATTGCAATGTTCGATTGGGATGAGGGAGGGAGGGAAGGAAAGAAAAGGAGGGATGGAGAAAGGAAGAAAAAGGGGGGAGGGAAATTGAAATCTCGAGAGAGAGAGAGAGAGAGAGAGAGAGAGAGAGAGAGAGAGAGAGAGAGAGAGGAGAGAGAGAGAGAGAGAGAGAGAGGGGCCCAGTAATCTGTCAGTTTTGCCAGCTCCTGCCAGTGAGATAAGCCCCGGGAGGCTGCCACTGATGGCACATTATTATCAATTGTTTGATTGGATTAGCACCAC